GATAAACGAGAGCAGAGGCCCACACAACGGGGCATATCGCTCTTGCCAATCCATATACAACGATACATCAACCAAGAACGGACATTTGCGCAGTTTTTCAAGCGCTTGCTCCGTCAAGGCCTTTTGCACTGACTCACCTGTATCTTCAATGCTGCTATCGTCACGATTCAGGTCCAGACTGCCGGCGTACTTGACCACTGAAGCCTCTTCTCCATTGTCCGCTACCTTGAGCATCTCTTCGACACTGGGCAGTCCGCTGTCTTCATAAACACGTCCAAGCTCTACTGCAAGTCGGCGTGCTATCCACTGCTGCTGCTTGTCACTGGAAAGTGAAGACAAACTCGATGACGAAGAGATCGTAGCGCGGCACTGTCGAATAAACGGCAGCACGTCGTCAAGTTTCTCGCTCATACTGTGCGATGATTCAACGCAATTCCCACTCGTTTCCGAAGACTGAAGAAGGTTTAGTAGCCACTTGCCAGCACTAGCTTCATCGTCATCAGAGTCGTCCAAAAGCTCTGGTAACAGCTCGAGTACGGACCGTCGTCCAGCCCATGAGATAGCATTACTCTTCGCCGTAAACTTGCTGATCAAGTGCTTTTCAAGTGACGACAGAGTCCACAGCACATCCTTCGCAGTCTGTGGCTGACTGTCACTAGACTGCGTCTGTAAAAAGTTCTCGACTTCCTTCTTCACGTCTTCTAGCGTCACGTCCACTTCTTTGTTGAGTTTTGCGAACCTGGTGGCGAATGGATCACTCGGCATGACAGGGAACTCGTCCGGCGTCTTGGTCTCCTCATCTGGTTCAGCTTTATCCATTTCTTCGTCTTCTTCATCACTCTCAACGTGACACTTGCAAGTGCACGAACAAGTGCACGAGTCCTTGCCCACGCAGCAGCAATCGCACTCTTCCTTGTCGCTTTCAGCCTTTTCCTTCTCTACATCAACGTCCTCATCAGGTAGCTTGTCATCACTCAGTAGCAACGCGTACGTCTTGGCCATAATACTACAGATCACCCACGTCACGACTTTCAGTCTCGAGTGGTGTTTGCTCTTCTGCGACGACATTAAAAACCGCGTCAACTGGTTCCGCAGCTTGGAATCCGTCTCTGCAATCTCTTGAGAAGAAATCGGTTTACGGAATTTTTGTTGATTCTTCGCGTCTGCAGCAGCCTTCCGTCTCAATACATTGTCCAAATACACATCCACATCCGTGACGCGCTTCAGCATATCCAGCGACAGCGACTGCATGCTCTTCTTGCCTCCACGTCTGTGAGGACCCTCATTCTCCTGCCGTGCACCCGTCTGTTCCAGTAGTTCTTGCAGCGCCTGCTTCCGATTATCATCACTGAATTTCTCCTTTGTAAGACGGAACATTTTCTCCGCAACTTCGCGTTGGAACTGCTGCTCCAGCGTCTTTATCTCCTTCATCTCGTAGTTGGCCACTCGACGCAGCATTCCCACGTAAACTCCGAAGCCATTGGGGTCGATAGCGACGCCCATGGCCTGTGCGTTGGGCTGTCTGAACTGCTGAGCTAGAAACTGCAAGAACTCGTTCAGATCGATGTGGGACGACGCTCGGAACGCGTCGTGGCCCAACATTTCCTCGAATTGCCGTAAAGTAGTCAGCACGTCTCTCGTTGTGACGGTCAGTACGGCTCTAGGCGAGTGATACAAGTGCTGTACGGCCTCCGTATGCAGAAAAGAGTTGCCCAGCTTGAGTTCGTTGAAGGAACGCAGTCCTTCGTGCTGTAGGAAGGCCTGGTGGCACTCAAACAGCGTGTTGATGCGTCGACTCTGCATGAAACAGGTCACGAACGTCCACACGCGTTGGTTCACGGTGTGCAGCTGTCTTAGTGCTGGAAGTTGCAGCGCGTTTGTGCCCATGAGCTCCTCGAACGCATTGACATCTACATTGCAACGAATTTTAGAGCGTAATAACAGCATAAAGGCACTGTCTAAACGTACGGAAATGACTGCAGATGGCGCGCACCACCACGTCGAGTGTCAACGCGTTGGGCGGTGCTGACGGACTCGATTGATTGGCGCGAAAGGCTTCAACGAAGGCCACGACGTCTCTCTGGACTTGTGGAGCGGCTCTGGGCT